GGGCGGTGAGATAAAAAGTGAATAAAAAGTCCAGAAGGTGCCCCCAAACCCTGAGACCAAGGTGTGAGGGCCCGCTCCAGGAAAATATCTGGAGCTGGCTTACCTTAGATCCAAGTCACGGAACCAGCATGTTAGATCTCTCTCATGGGAGAAATATACCTCAGTCCCTGACTTCACTCGAGAAAGAATGCACTCCAAAGCCTGGATCATGATCCAAATGAGTTTTATGAAAGAAAGAAGAAGTCTCAGGTTTAAACAGGCACCTCAGGGCCCTTCACACCCACATGTGGAGTCCTGAAGCCAGAGGAGATCGCTACACAGCCTCCAAGGAGCAGCTTGAGAAGCCCAGGGGACCACTAGGCTCTGGACTCTGGCGTTTCAGGTCCTCTGCTGGGAGGCGTCAACCCCATTGACTGAATTGAATTCACCAAGCCCAGATGGGCCGATCCAGGTGTAATTCCCACGGTGTACCACGCCTTCCTGGCTGGAAGCTGGAACCTCTGAGCATGCGCAATGGACATCCCCAGTCCCTATGCTAGCTACCTAGCAGAAACGGATCATCATGAAAGTCCCTCACAAAAGCAAATTGGCATAGAGAGAACATTCAAAAATGGGGGATACGTGTATTGCTGTTGTTGCTGAAGAAAATATAACCTACAAACCAGAAGTGAATGAATAAACACCTCAACCTAATTCTTTTCGACACTTGAGTGAGTGATTCACTTGCAACAGTACCTGGACATGACCTGTCCCTGCCCTTGCTGTTGTTGTTTCGTGCCATTGAGTCAGCTCCATCTCTTAGTTGCCACATAGCACCCAACAGAAGGAAGCACTTCCTGGCCCTGCACCATCCTCACAATTTTTGTTACCTTTGAGCCCGCCCCCCCCACTTTTTTTTGCTGCTACTGTGTCAATCCATCTCATTAAGGTTCTTCCTTTTTTTACTTTTGCTGACCCCCATGTTGGCCTAACATGATGCTCTTCTTTAGGGATTGCTTCCTCCTGATAGCATGGCCAATGTAGATAGGATGAAGTATCATCATCCTCACTTCCAAGGAGCATCCTAGCTGTACTTCCAAGATAGATTTGATTGCTCTTCTGGTAGTCAATATTGAAGAATCAATATTTTTCACCAAAAATTCACAGTCATCAATTATTCTTTGTGTTTCCTAGTTCTTTCCCAAGCATATGTGTTCTTATGAGGTGAGTGAAAGGACCAGGGCATGGATCAGGTGGAATATCTTGACTTTGTAACATTTTGAAGGAGGAGTGGGGAACCTTTGTTCTTGCCACGGACCATTTGGATATTTATAACTGGGATGCAAAAGGGTTTTCCCCCAGGTTGTACCCCAAATATATGCCAAACCCAGGACGCTGCTTGCAACATGTGGTAAATGACTACACAATTGGAAGCAAGCTGCTTAGAGATTTTCTCCCTGAGGTATCAGCCATCTAGATCAATCACACTATTGTCTGATAAGGATGGTAGATTGTTTCGCTGAAGGAGAAGCCCAGAGCCAAGATCAAGCCAACTCAAGGACGATCAAAGTTAGGCTGCCATCTTGAATCGAGGATCTGCCCATCTTGTCACTTGTGTACCCCTGGCTCATCCCCTTCCTGTCACACGTCTGCCTATTGAGCAGCTCCTTCTTGTTACGATGTGGTTACCTGTAATACGGGTGGCTGCATGGTCCCCAAGTGGATATAAGCCTTGGTTAGAATTATACTCCCTCTCCTCCTCTCGACCCACCTCCATGTGGACCACCAAGTGGGACTGAGGTGAACATGCTACCATAATATGTGTCTGACTCCTTTATTTGATTCTCTCTCACATATTCTGTGACTTTACTATGACCTTTATGTGCTATCACCATACAATTGCACCTACAGACCCTGCCGTTGTGAAAGGGTGGCTTACTCTAACAATAACCCTGTTTGCAGGCCTTATAAAATTGTCAACTTAAAACAGTCTCCTATATTTGGCCCAACAGTTCATTAATTCATCCTTAAAGTGATGGCCAGACCTGCTTCTCTTTGGTGAGGCATGTGACGTTAGCTGGTATTGATGATTTGGGGGGCCTTAAGTGTCCTAAGGACCGGACATTCCCCAGCCCTGCTTCAAAGAGATCTTGTAGCAGATTTTCCCATGGCAATACATTGTTTGATTGCTGAACTGCTTCTTCCGTGGACATGGAAAGAGTAAAATTAATTTTTTTTCTCCAAGTAAAGATAAATTCTTGACAACTGCAATCTTCTCTGTGTTTATTGTGATGTTGCTTATTTGTACAGTTGTGAGGATTTTTGTTTTATTTATGTTGAGGTATCCTGAAGACTTGGTAGTCTTTGAGCTTCATCAGTAAGTGCTTCAAATCCTCTTCACTTTCAGCAAGCAAGGTTGTAACCTCTGCCTATCACAGGTTACTAATAAGTCTTCCTTCCGTCTTCATAAAGTCCCGATTCTTGTTTGCTCAGCATACAGATTGCATAAGTATGGTGAGATAGGGTATTTCAACATGTGGATTTACCTTTGTTGCAAACAGAAAATGCCTTAGGCATAATCCAACACCCAGAGGGAAATAATCACTGTACCTGGGGGCTCAGGACTGTTGTTTTGTGGAACACTATGTTCTGTTGGCTTAACATAGTCCTCAGAGACAATGTTCTACGTCCTACATTGGTAAGTAGTAACTGGGGTATTGGATGATTACATTGCATGATCTGTGAAGGATATCACAATATAATTAAAGCTAAATAAAACTAAAGCACAATAAAAAATTTTATAAACTATCAAGGGCTCATGCGGGAGGGGGGAGCGGGGAGGGAGGGGAAAAATGAGGACCTAATGTCGGGGGTTTAA